CAGCGCTGTGCCGCCTCTTTCCTCGCCGCGGGGCACCCGGGAGCTCTTCCCACCCCTCACCCATCTAGGCATCGCCGGCAGCGTGTTGTGCTTACTTATGCAATGAGCTGTGCTGGGTCTCAGCCCGCCCACACACATCGTGAGGCTCCGTGAGCTTGGCAGGGGGTGGGTGGGCTCCCCCGCAGGGCGACGGGGTAGGTGAGGAGCTCCCGTCTCCCCTCTCCGTGTCACAGTCTCGGTCCCGGTACTCGGTTCTGTCCCGGTGCCCGCGGGAGGTGCCGCCACGTGTCCCTCCGCGGCACTCGTAGAGCTTAAAGCCCGCCTCCTCAAGGTCGATACGCGCTCTGATTGGTTCTGCTGCTCGCCCGTCTGTGTCACCGCGCGGCGCACGCCGCGCTCATTGGCTGCCTTAGGTATTATGAGCACTGATTGGCTGGGATGGCTCAGGGTACGTCCCTCCCGGCTGGGCCAGGAAGTGAAGATGGCGGCGGCGGCTGCCTTGGCTGCGGATGAGGCAGGTACTGGTGGGCTCGGATGCTCGGTGTTTGTTCATTGTCTCCCAGTTCCCCGACCGCGGTCTCCGGGGAGCTGGGCCGGTGCTGAGCGCTGTTCCCGCAGAGCGGGCGCGGGGCCGGCGCGCCGCCCTGTCTTTCGCAACCATCGCTGTGGTGCTGGGACTGCCGCTGTGGTGGAAAACGACCGAGACCTACCGCGCTGCACTGCCCTACGCGGACATCGATGGGCTCGGCCAGCAGCCGGTGAGCGCTTGGCGGGCCCGGGGGCGGAGGCTCGGGAGGCTCGGGAGCCCGGGCTGACGCTGCCCCTGTGCAGGTTCGGCTGGTGGTGCCCATGGCCGTGGTCTTCAGCCCGGGGTCGGTGCCCAGGGACCTGCCGAGGCCGCTGCCCTTCAGGGACGTGCAGGAGATGGAGATTTCCGTGAACCGTGAGAGACCCTCTTGTCTGTCCCTGCCCCGTCCGCTCCTCATGGGTGGCCTCGTCCTTTCCCTGGGGGTCCCACCCTGCCTGCGGCTTCACTCCCCGGCAGCCGGGATCTCCCGGGACCCCAGCCCCACTCACCAGCATCAACCAGCCCTGAGCTGGCAGTGCAGGGAGCAGGACAGTGAGGTCCCAGGATGCTGCAGGGAAGGGACCAGCTCCATTGCCCGGGGATGGGGACAATAGAGCCCTCAGAGGACGGGGTGTGTCTCAGAGCGGGATGTGTCTGGTTAGTGTGAGGCTGTCTCACTAGCAGTGTGGACCAGTGATGCTAGATCCCATAGTGGTTCACGCCACTGGCACCCAAAGGACCTCGTGCCATGTTTCCCTCTGAGGCTGTCCCTTGTCTCTGTAAGCACCAGGCTCCTGTGAGGGGTCTGGGATCAGCAGATTCACTCAGGTTTTCTGCCCTTGCAGTGAGAACCAGCGTCACATCCCACTACGAGATGCACTATCGCAGCACCACGGGTCAGGAGGAGGCAGCACTGGCTGCGGCGACTGCACGAGGTATTGGAGCAGGGAATTGCTGGGAAGCTCTTCTTCCTGAGGCTGGCTGAGCTGAGAGCACACTTTGCTTTGTCTCAGAGTGAGACAGGGATTGGAGTGACATTCCCAACCCTGCCAGTGCTTCCATCTTCCCCAGAGGCAGATGCTGCTCTGCACCCGCTGCAGGACACCACCATGGGCTCTCTGACCATGTATGTGGTCCCTGAAACCTCCTCTCTCTTGCCTCAGGTAGGGAGCAGCACCCTGTGGTGCCAGCCTCTGTCCTTCACCCCTGGGAGGTGGCACAGGTGGCACTGTCCTGTTCTCAGGGCACTGCTCCCAGCCCTCACCCCATCCCATCCCCAGGGCATCAATGTCTACGTGGGGAAGCACCGCAGCGCCCTGGTGAGGGCTGGGGGGAGCCTGGCTGCCCTGCAGGCCCGGCTCCTGGAGGTGACACAGGTGATGTCCTTCACGGCCAGCTCCATCGCTGCCGCCCTGTCAGACCGTGTGGCCAACGGACAGCTCAGCCCCGACGCACGGCGGAACCTGAAATCCAGCCTGGGTATGGATGTGTTCTCCATCCCTGCTCCCTGGCCTCGGGAAAGCCTTCTGCTCCTGGGGAAGATCCCATTCCTGCTCCACTTGTAGCATCCCTGGATGTCTTCTGGGCTAAACAGACCCCTTTGGCTGTAGCAGTTGTTGTGGACCAGGGTTGCTGTGATTGCTCTGTTGGTGTCACCCCACAGTGGGATGGGCTAGGCAGAAGAGGACAGGTCGTGCTGCTCTTGGGAGCTCTGTCACGGCCTCAGTGGCTCACAGGCTGTGGGTCCTTGCAGGGTATGAGATCACCTTCAGCCTGCTGAACCCTGACCCCAAGTCCCACACCGTGGACTGGGACATCGAGGGGGCTGTGAACCGCTATGTGAAGCCTGTCCTGGACAAACTGAGCTTGCTGGCCAACTTTTCTGTGGATTCACAGGTGAGGGCTGAGACAGATGGTGGGGAAAGCCCAGCCCTGACCTCCTTGGGATGCACTTCTCTGACAGCAGCATGTCCCCTTGTGTTCCTGCAGATCCTATACTACGCTGTCCTAGGAGTGACACCACGCTATGACAAGGAGTCCTCCAGCTTCCTCCTGAGTGCTCACAGCCTCCCACATGTCATCAACCCCGTGGAGGCCCGGCTGGGTGAGCACCGTGCTCGTGGCTCTCTGGGATCTGTCTCATGGAACTGTGGCTCCCTTTCCCCCCAGCCCATGAGAGAGCTGCAGGGCTGGCTGTGAAGGAGGAGCTGGGCTGTGGGCTGCTTTTGCTGTCCCTGCCAGCCACAAGAGTTCTGTGACTGTCCTACTTTCAGGCTCCAGTGCTGCCTCACTCTACCCAGTGCTGAACTTCCTGCTGTATGTGCCAGAGCGCTCCCACTCCCCTCTGTACATCCAGGACAAGGATGGAGCCCTAGTGAGCACCAACGCCTTCCACAGCCCTCGCTGGGGTGGCATCATGGTATGAGAACCATGAGGGTGCTGGCAGTGCTAGGACAAGGTGGTGGCTCCCTGCTCCCAGCTGCTGACCCTGTTGGCCCTGAAGCTCTGGCTATGCCTCGCTGACACATTCTCTTGCAGGTTTACAATGTTGAAGTCCCTGCTTCCCCCCAAGCCTCCCTCCCTCTGCATGTGGATGTGGACATGGCACGAGTGATGGAGGTTTTCCTGGCCCAGCTCCGGTGAGGATGTGCTCTTCCCTCCCCAGGCCTCTCTGGAAATCACTGAGGTCAGAACAGACTGTACTCAAACAGCTTGTTCACTGCTCCCTCTGTGGGCTCTGGGAGGCTGAGGGTGGCTCTTTGTGGCCTTCGAGGTGCTGGCTACTGGCCACCACTGCTCTGTGTCCAGGGACGCTGGCACATCTCCCATCTCCTCAAGCCTCAGGTAGGAGGCTTGGTTTATCATGCCACACATTCAGGAGGCAATTAGGCAGGATTGGGACTGAAAAGGGAAGAAGAGCAGGGAGCTCATGGGAATGCAGGCTTGTGATGTGGGCTAGGACCATCCCTCCTACTCCTAGGTTACTCTTCGGGCTGTCTCGGGAAGAGGTGCCTCCTGAGTTCCTGCTGGAAAGGCCAGGGAATGAGGGGCTGGCTGACTGGGAGCTGGACCACCTGCTCTGGGCCCACACTGTGGAGAACATCGCCACAGTGTCCACCACCCTGACCTCGCTGGCCCAGCTCCTGGACAAGATTGGGAACATCGTCATCAAGGATGATGTAGCCTCTGAGGTAGGGCTGGAGCACTCTGCAGTGGGGAGCAGAGGGGGCTGAGTGTCCCTGTTGCCCTCCCTGGCCAGGGACTGACCCTTGGTGTTGTTCCCACACAGGTGTACCGGGCAGTGGCCTCAGTCCAGAGTGCTGTGACCAAGCTGTCCCTGGGCCACCTGCATGCAGCTTTCCAGGCCAGCAAGGAGGCTGTCACCTCCTCAGAGAGGGCATTCTTTGACCCATCTCTCCTTCATCTCCTCTACTTCCCTGATGACCAGAAATTTGCCATCTACATCCCGCTCTTCTTGCCCATGGCTGTCCCAATTCTCTTATCCCTGGCCAAGATTGTCCGGGAGACCAGGCTGCGTAAGAAGGAGCCCACCAAGATGGACTGAGCAATGATGCCCTGGCTTGGGGCTGTCCTCACAGACTTATGGCCCAGAAAGGCACCCCAGGGCCAGGCCTGGCTGCTTGGCTTGGGTGCGCCAGGGCCAGGATGCAGGAGTGGGAACAGAGGCTGCTTTGGGGGGTGAGAAGGGGTCTCAGTTTAGGTACTGAGCCCTCCTGTACCCACAGAGGCAGAGAGGGGAGGGAGCTGCTGCCTTTGTGTACCCCCAGCCTGGTGCTGTACTCAGAAGAAGCTGCTGTGTAAATAAAGAACCCCCTGCTCTGTGGGGGGCTGATGTGGGGCTGTGTGAACCTCCTTTAGCCTTCTGGGGGGTGCGTATTGCCCTGCCTTCCCCTGGCCCAGCTTTCCTGCCCCAATTCCCTTGCTTTATGGGGTCTGGCTCCTGTCGTATGGGTATTGAGACAAAAATACTTTGCTGGGGAGGGGGGACAGTTCCTGGGGGCAGTTCCTGGAGTCCATCCAGGACTGTGAGAGGATTGCAGAGCCCCCGGGGGCAGCCCACCTTAGCGAGCTCCAGCTCCTCCATTGTGTGCCGATCTGAGGCTGCTTGGGGCGGGTGTCCCTGTGCTCCGAGCCAGGTGTGGGCTCTGTCCCCACCTCACCTGCGCTCCTGGCGGGGGGGTTCACCCCATTCTCCTCCAGCAGAAAGGCTTTGCCCTAAGCCTCAGGGAGCAGCGTGGGGGGGCGGCTTTCCTCCTTCCCCTCGCTGCTCCCCCTCCCGCGGAGCCGGGCGGTGCTGCGCGGCCGGGGGCGGGCCGGGGGCGGTGATGGCGATGCCCCTCCCGGTGCGGCGGCGCGCAGCGGGGCCGGGGCCGCTCACACCGGCGGTAGCGGCGGCGGCGGCGGCGGGGCCATGAAGGTGAAGAAGAGCGGCGGGGCCGGGGCGGCGGCGGCCAGGACCGAGGAGGAGCTGGGCCGAAAGGCGCTCATCGGGCCCGACGACGTGCTGGGGCTGCAGCGGGTCACCAGCGGTGCGTGCCGGGGATGGCGCGGGGGGAGCCTGGGGACCGTGTCCCCGTGGGGCTTTAACCGGGGAGAAAAGGACAGCCGGCCCTCCTCTCCGAGGGGTCTAAACCGGGGGGAAAAGAGGGAAAAGGACAACCGGTTCCCCCTTTCCGGGGGATGAGAAGTGGGGATGCAGCACGGCAGGGGACAGTCCGCACCGGGATGTGGCACCGCGGGGGCTGGGTACCATCGGAGGAACAGAGGAATGCCCGGAGCTGGGGATGCAGCCCCCCGACTCTGGTCGAAGGTCAGTGTTGGGATGCTCCTCGCTGCTCTCCCCATCACCCGTTCCCTGTGTCTGTGCCCCAAGTGGAGCCTCCCACCCTGTGCCCACGGCAATGGGATGGGCTGGATCCGTGGCCACAGCATGGGGGGGACTTCACAGCAGCCTCCCATCCCGGTTTCCCTCTCTCCAGTATAGCACCTGTGATCTTGAGGGCATCTTGGAGGTGGTGGGTGGGAGTGTGTGGCTGGATGGGGTTGTTGAGCTCGGGACAGCAGCACATGGGGCTGGGGAAAGGCCAGGACAGGGGGGAATGGCTTCACACTGATAGGGAGCAGGTTTAGATTAGATATTAGGGAGAAATTCCTCCCTGGGAGAGTGGTGGGGCCCTGGCACAGAGAAGCTGTGGCTGCTCTATCCCTGGAAGTGTTCAAGATGAGGTTGGATGGGTCTTGGAGCAACCTGGGCTTGGTGGAAGGTGTCCCTGTGTTGGAACCAGATGGTTTTTAAGGTCTCTTCCAACCCAAACCAGTCCATGGTAATTTGTGTGCCTCAGGCCAGCCTGGCCTCAGCGGTGCCCAGGGACAATCTGCCCTGGTGTCCCAAAAAGTCCTTTTTCCATGTCCTAGGAGCTTTGGGTTATCTCTCTGGGCTGTCAGGGCAGAGGGGCTGGCCTGGGGTCTGGCTGTGCTCCCTGTGCCTCGCAGTGCTCTGTGGCCTCAGAGCCAGCTCTGTGTCACAGCCGGGGCTGTGCCGAGCCCTGGAGAGGAAGGATGCGGCTGTGGGTGCTGGGGCGTGCAGCCAGCCCCGTGGGGCTGCTGTGTGAGCAGGATGGGAGGAGGACAGCCCGGCAGGGACTCGTGTCAGCTCTCAGGAAGGGCTTACAGGGGCTGTTCTTGCTTGGGTTCCCTTCTGCGAGCTGAGCTGCTCTGCTGGTGCAGCTGCGTGATTCAGTGCCCAGAAATCCCCTTCCTGTAGCAGGGAGAGCCACGCAGCAGGCACTGAAGCATCCTGCCAGCATCCTCAGTTGGGTGGCGAATCCGAACCATAGCTGTGTGAAGCACTGCTCATTTCATGGCAGCCTTTGTGTCCCTGCCCTCGCCAGGGCTGTCTGCAGGGGACAGGGCCACCCCACAGCCTTGCTGTCACCTCAGCGTCAGTGGGGATGGATGGTGCATGCTCTTGGTAAGCTCAGGGAAGGCTGAGCTGGTGAGCCAGGCTTGGAGCAGAGCTGGTTGTTGTCTGCCTGGGTCAGAGTGCTCTGGAGCACAGGGAGGATGTGAAATGCATGAAAATGTGTTCCTCTCCTGCTGTGAGACTTGCTGGTACCAGAGGTGTAGATGGGTCATGCTAAACAGAGCCAGGCACTGTGATGATGTCCCAGGTTTACCATAGGATGTGCTTCCTGGATGTGGGGGAGCCAGGAAATGCTTTCCACACCTGAAAGCCTCTGCGAGTTTGGGGATACAGGTAAACAGTAAACATGCAGAGCATATTGTATCTTACCACCCAGGAACACTTTGCAGCTCCCCTTCTCAAGCTCAGTTTTCTTCCTCGTGGGTTTAACAGAAAGCAAAGAATATTTTTTCCAGTCTTTGACACCTAATGGTTATTTGGGGCATTCTATGGCCTTTGCTCATTTCTACACCCTTAATAACAGATGGCCAAAAATAGTAATGTGAAACTGTTCCACTCTTCTGCTTCAGGTAGGGGAGGAGGAAGGACCAGGGAGAGAAGTTCACAGCTGCCCCAACCTTTTGGACGTGCAGAGTGTCAGGGCAGACACCACACCCTGTTGCAACAATTCTGCTTTGACAGTTTGAAGTGAAGGAGGAGTTGGTGCACGAACAGAAATGTCCTGTTGCCCTGGATGCCCTTTGTTGTTCCAGAGGGAGGATAATCCATCTTTATCCAAACTCATGGGCCAGTAGCACGGCATCTGATGCTGTCGAGGGATTGCATTAAACTGTGTCCTGCCTGGGACCTGGGGATGGCTGCCCGTGTTTTAGGGTTGCTTCATCAAACAAAGCCCAGCAGGGCTTGGTGGCACAGGAAGGGGTGTTTTAGGGATGCTCACACCAGGAGCAGGCTGTGTATTTCTGAGCAGCCTTCCAGGTTGTGCAGGGAGAGGTGAAATTCCAGGATGATTTGGGTTGGAGGGGACCTTAAAAATCACCTTTTTCCAACTACCTCACCAAGAACAGGAACACCTGCCTCTAGACGAGCTCTCTCCGAGCCTCACCCAATATTTCCCTGAACACTTCCAGGGATGGGGCAGCCACAGCTTCTCTGCCCAACCCGTGCCAGTGCCTCAGCAGCCTGACAGGGAAGAATTCCTCCCTAATAATCTTTCCATCAGGCAGCACAGCTGGACTTTGCCCTCCCAGTGGGTGCAGCTGACCAAATATGAGGTGACTGGGCTGGGAGGGTGTTGAGGCAGGATGTGGCTCTGTGGGCAGCCACAGGAGCCAGCTGGGCTCTACTCCTAATGTGCTTCTAATAAGCTTAACTGGGGAGTCGTGTGAACTGCCCTGCACATTCTGCATCCTTCCAATGTTAAATTCCCCAGCAGCTCCTTGCCCACAACGTTTCTGGGCACGCTGGGGTCCAGCCTGATGGTTCTGGGATGCTGCCCTGGGATATCTGGGCCTTCTGGCCAGGCTGGTTCTGGCGCTGCTCCAGCTGGATCAGGTGTAAAGGCGAGAGAACCATTTCCTTTGCAATTAGCGAGATTTGTCACTCGCTCACACAACTGTGGTTGGGAAAAGCGGAAAAAGCTCATGACGTGATTAATTTAAGATTAGCAAAGGAGTGGGGCAGAGCTCAGTTCAAATTGCAATTAATTACTGAGGCAGCCAGAGAATCATAGGAGTCAGATGTGTAACAAAAGACAAGCTCCAGCCTCTGAGGCTGCCCTGCTTATCACCTGCACACTTTGCCTGTGATACCAGATCAAATCTTCCTTTGAAAGTTTTATTCTAATGCTGATTTTGTTTTAGCAAACCAAGGGGATAAATCATTGATTACATGCTTGGAAACAGTTTCAGAACAAACCCTAAAAATAAGGAACACATATGTAATCATTTCTGAAAGTAATCTCTTCCTCGAGCTGTCACTTGGGATTTCTCTGAGACTTCTCTAGGCAGCTTTAGCTAAAGGCCAGCTTGGCACAGGGCAGGCCAGAACCTTCTTGGGGGACTTTCATACCAGTTTCCTGCAGTCAATTAAAGAAAAAAACCCAAATAAACCATTTCCCTTCCCTCTGCCTCAGCAGTTCAAATCCAAGATCCGTGTTCAAATCCATTTCTAAATCCATGGGGTTTGGATAGGCAAGGAGAGAGGGAGGCACTAACAGGAATGTGAGTCAGATGTGCATGAATCCATCTTCAAAGCCACTCCTGGACCATGACTTCCCTCCCCAGTTAATGGGGAGAATGCATTTTATTAGGAGCTCTGAGGAGCTGTGGGTGTCTGCGAGGTTAATAAATCCCTGTTCTGCCTTGTCCAGGGCTGTGATGTGTGGCTGTGTTTTGATGTGCTGATTTCTTGTTGCAGAGCCATATCCCAGAGCTGTGCCAAGCTGCTCTCATGACCCTTCCCTCAGCATCCCACGCAGGCTGTGAGCTTCTCCAGGGCTCCAGGGTGTTTGCTAAAGTCTCACAGCACAATATGAGCTGTTAGGATTCCCAGGGGCAGCACACATGGTGTGTGTGGTGTGGGATTCCTCCTTCTCTCAGGGTTGTGGGTTTAGGCCATCCCTGGTGGAAATGGCAAAGGTAAGAGGAAAGCTGAGGGTCTGGGTAGAGCTTGGCTTTGGCTCATCCCAAAAATAGCCGATTTTGTACACGTGGTTTCAGACTTTGAATGCAATCAGCATGAGAAGGGGGCAGGAGAAAGTGTTTGGGTGCCTTGGAAATGGGGGAAGAGCAGCTCCATCCACAGGCTGCAGGGCTGTGATCAAATTAATTGTGAGAGGATGAAGTGTGGAAAGCTCTAGCTGAAATAAAAAAAAAAAAAAAAAGGAAAAATTGATGAGCAGGCTGCCACAAAAATCAGAGCCCGGTGAGCTGTGCAGGAGGACTTGGCAACTGAGGGGCTCTGGGGACCTTGGGAAGTGCCTCAGCCTGGAGCCTCCTGGCCCAAATCCCTCTGCTTCCTTGACAGTAAATGTGCTGCTGTGGAAAAACCCCCTGTGGGATCCTTGTGGTGCAGGATTTTCCCTCTGGGACACTGCAGCAGCCTAATTCCAGAGCTAGGTCAGAGGGCAGCTGCCTCCCTCCCTGCGCAACCCCTCTGGTTCTCCAAACCCCATGGTTTTGGCTTTTACAGAAGTAGATCCTGTTTCCCGAGGCAGAGGGCAGGGAAATGGTTTATTTTTTTAATTTAACTGAGCCCAGGTTGTCTGGGCAGGTTTATCAATGGCACCTGGAGCCTGCCCTGCCTTCCCCCCAGGTCCTGCTCCGTGTCCTGCGTCACCACTCGGCCTCTTCTCGGGGTCTGGGCTATTTTTGCCTCCTCCTGAGACTCTTCAATCTGATAATCTCCTAATCTCCAGCTCCTGGCAATTCCTCTGCAGTTGTCTTGGCTTTATACCTGGCTTATGTCTTGGGAGTTGGCTTCAGAATAGCTCCTGACCTTGTTGGTTAATGCGTGTTGGGAAATAGGCCTGGATAACTCAGGAGCCTTCTCATCCATCCCCTAAATGTTGTTGTTTGTGTCAGGGAGAGAAATTCCTGTTACAAGTCGCTGCTGTTGCCTCAGTCTCTTGTACAGCATCCTCCTGATTTGCACCCATTCCAGAACCAGATTTTCAGTTCTTTCTTACCCTGGGTGCACTCTGCTTTCCTTAGTGGGCTCTTAAGGTCTTAAAATAGGAGCTGCCCCATCTGAGATTAGACTCTGATGAGCACAGAAATATCCCTGGTGTCTGTGAGAGGGGACACGTGCTTCCTCCTGATTGCAGAGATGGGGAAAGGAGCAGAACAAAGAGTGTGGATCCTGTTGCCCATGAACTTGTGATAAGATGTGCCTGGTGGGGTGGTTGCAAAGGAAATTTGGAAATGTAAGATCAAGTGTTACTTTTCTGTGATGAGGAGCAAACCTGATCTCATGCATTTAAATGACAGGGAAAGGTCCAGAGGAGAAAGTGCCTTTGTTTGCTTTTCTGTGCTATTTAGCACTGTATTATCCCTCACCTTTTGTGCTCCTCTGTAACACCAGCTGCTAAAATACACACCTGGAATTTTGCACCAGGGTTCAGGATGTGCCAGCGTTCACAGGCAGTGCCTACTGGCATTGTCCAGGCTGTTCTGCTGGTTTATTTTGTAATCATGGTTGGGTTTGGGAGGGCAGGAAGGTTTCCTGGATAAAAACTCTCTTCCCTGTATTAGGCAGTGGAGGTATCACCTCAGACCTGTACCCGGGGGAGAGGCACCTGCTGATTCTGAGAGCAAAGCTAGAGACCACTGAACTGTTTGGGGTCACTTTGAAATCACTTTTTCCTACAAAGGGCATTGCAGAATTTCTGAAGGAATTAATTGAGCCAGATTCAGGAAGCCAATCACCTCTGCTGCTTCCTCAGACCACCACAGTGGTGTTGGTTGTGATCCAAAGTCTTCAGAGCTGTGATAGGTTTTAAGGTAGAAATTGTCTCTAAAAGTGGGGGAGTTGCAGATCTTTGGGCACGATCCATGAGGTTATGGGAAAGAAGCTGGAGAGGCACCATCAGGAATGGTGATGTGTGAGTGAGAAGTGGCTGCTAATGCCAGGTGAATTGTTTTCAGGAAGGATTTGGGGTTGTAGGTCTGGGGTATGACAATTCCCTGGGCTCTAGGAAAGAGTAGGAAGTACTCGACTTTTTGACTTTTTTTTTTGCACTACTAAATGTGGGTACTTTAGGATAAAAACCAGTCTGATGGGTTTTCCATGGCAGTGCTGCTGTGTCCATGCCTTCATCCCTAAATCAGGTGAGTACTGAAGGCTCAGGGCCACACCATGATGGTTCAGTTATTAACAGGGAAACAGCACGACCTGCTTCAGGGGAAGTGCAAGAAAAATGGAAATATTCTGTCCTGAGAGACCAACCCACCATTTTCTGTAACAATCCCCTCCGTGGAGGTTTGATCTGCCTCATTCCCAGCTAAAATAACCACGGCTGCTGCCTCCCTTCCCTAAATCGTGGCGATGGTGAATTAGGATAAGGGAAGCAGATGATACATTTAAGTGAGTCACGGAAGTGTGGGCAACTGGGCCCTACAGTAATTTAAAAATAAGTGTGTATGGGATGAGATTAGCAAATCTGACAGTGCTCAGCTAAGCAGAAGGATCTGCCAATTGCAAGCAGCCCATTCCCAATAAGAGCTCCCAGTGCAGCCTCAGGCTCCTGCTACTTGTGGGGGAAAAAACCAGCACGTGGCTACTTTGATTGATTTTTGAACAGGAACAGCAGAAACAAATGTAATACAGACTGAGGGGAATATACATTCCTCTGGGCTTTTTTTTTTTTTCCTTTCTAGGAGACTGGGCACTGCCAGAGGAGTTAAAACCCCACTTCATTACAGTATTCTGGCAGCTGATCTCCCAGGATGGCATCCAGTTCGTATTGGCATGCTGATTTAAAAAACAAAAACAAAAACAAAAAAAAAGGTGTAAAATATTACCAGGGCAAAAAGAATTGGAAAATAAGAGTGTAGGGGTGCAAACATCAATGAGCAGGAGGCTGGTGGGGATTCTACCCGGGGTTTACTCCTCTTTGGAGGCTCTGCTTGGCTCTCCTCTGCTCCAGATGAGTCATGGACCCTGTTACTGCAGCAACGCTGCTGCCAAGGAGGGGGATAAAGCTGTTGCCATGGTGCTGGATGGGCAGGAATTCTGCAGGAGTAGAAACACTTAATAATTAACTTGCAGACAAACGCAGCTTCAGATTTGCCAGCGTGCTCCAGGGAAGGTGTCCTGGGCTCCTGGGCGACTGCTGCCTGTTGCCAGCAGCCTTCCCAGAGAACAGCCAGTGGCCATGGGGCTAGGGAGGGGGAGCTGGGCTGTGGGAAGCTGTGCCTGCTTCCATCACTTGGTGTTTTGCATGCTGGAGCTGGGAAGTTGTGGGACGGGTTAGGAGCTGGGGTGGCTGATGTGTCAGAGCTGAAAATCATGGTGTAATTGCAGGACATCTCCCTGAGGAATGCTAAACATCAGGGCCTAAGGCAAGGGCTGGGTTTCAGTTCCTGTCCTGTCTTCTTGGCTGCTGACAAGACACAAAAGAAGATTTTTTTGTGCAGTTCTTGGGATATTTGACCAAACTCAGGCTTGTGTTTTCTTGTGGTAGTAAAAAGGTTGAGCTTTTAACTTGTTCTTCCTGACAGCGTGGGTGCTGGTGTCAGTTTTAACTTGTGCTCTGTTGATAGGGAAGGGAAAATCCCTGCCAAATGCCAGGAATGCTTTGTACACTCTCCTCTCCCATTTATAGAATTGTAGAAACTCCGAGTGGTTTGGCTTAAGAGGGACCTCAAAGATCATCCAGTTCCATCCCCTCTGCCATGCAGGGACACCTCCCACTAGACCAGGTTGATCCAAGCCCCATCCAGCCTGGCCTTGAGCACTTCCAAGGATGGGGCATCCACAAATTCTCTGGCATTCCTTTGAGCATTCACCATATGGGGTTGTTGGAGAGCAGTAAAACTGTCCAGGGAGAACATTTAACACCTCTGTTCCTTGCACTGAGTTTACTTGGACAGTTCTCCAATTTATGGAGATTTGGAAGGAATAAAAGGCTTCTAGGAAAGTGCTGGTGCCAGGTGTTCGTGCCCAGGAGCTCAGAAATCTCTCACAGTGGTCCTGGATTTCTTAGACCTGTGCTGAGGTTGGATTGGCATGGGCAGGTCTGAGCTCTGAGCACTTTTGACTTGTTTTTATTTAGTCAGTGACTAAGCCTCAGGTGGATGGATTTGTTGGAGTTTCAGAAATAGGAAAGGAGACAGAAATAAGTGATTAGCTCAGATTAACAGCAGGAATTAGTAGCTGAGAAAGTGCTTCGAATTAGAATGTTAAAGTATTGTTTTCACCTTGGAACCTCCAGAACCAGTCTCCTGCATCAATCAAATGTACTGTTGTTTGAAAGCTGGCCTGACTTGTCACAGAGCATTTCTTTAGATTTGTCAGGGTAAAGTAAGTTATTGGAGCTGCTTTCAGTCTGTGCTGCGTGTGCTCCTTCCCCAGGGAGGAGGATGGTTCCCATGCCAGGAGCTGGCTCAGGGCACAGCAAGGCTGAAGGCCAGGACTCTGGAGATTTTAGTAGTGGAATCCTCATCTCTGGAAGTGTTCAAAAGGCCTGTGGATGAACCTGGGACATGGTTTAGTGGTGAACACAGCAGTGCAGGGCGAAAAGTTGGACTGGATGATCTTAGAGGGCTTTTCCAACCTTAACAATTCTGTGATTCCATGAATTTCTCTCAAAGATACTCGAAACAGGGAAGGGCTCCTCTCCCTGTTTTCCTAACACAGGGAAAAGCTTCAACAGCATTTTCAGTGCTGAGGAAAACAAGCCCTGGTGTGGGGAGAGAAGAGGCCACCCTTTGTCTGCAGAGGGCTGGAGCAGGGAGGTGGCACAGGGGAGGACACTCCTGCTCCAGTTAAGTGCAGCTTAGTGCTCCCAAAGCTGCTTAGCCCTCGCATTCTGCCACAGGGCAGTTTTTAAAACAGGCAAAGCCTCTTAACACTGGAAAGGCTGGGATTTGATGGAGGTGCTGACTAGTCTCAGTACCCCAGGAGGAAATGGATGCAGAAGTTGCTGGCACAGGGTTGGGAAAAGGTGATGACCTCCATGTGTTGGGGGAGAGAATTCTTTCCCCTGTCCTGTCTGAGCAGGGCAGTGTGAGCCTCCAGAACTGAGAATGTCTTCAGAGACATCAGTTTTGAGTTAAAGCAGGCAGTAGTGGAGATGCATTTGGGCTGCTCTCACTGCTGGTGTGGCCTCCAGAGAACAGACAGAAATTCCTGATATTTCAGGGCAGCCTTCATTTAAATTTGCTTCCCCCTGCAGATTATTTGTGCACTCCAGAGGAAAATGTTTACAAGATAGACTTCACCAGGTTCAAAATCCGGGACATGGAATCTGGCACAGTCTTGTTTGAAATCACCAAGCCAGCAGCTTCAGGTGAGTGCACACACAAAATAAAGTTTCCATGAGGAAATTCTTCCTTTTGCCTTTCCCCACTCCTTTTACTCCGTATATTTCCCAAAAGTAGCAGAATCTCTCCACTGCAGGAGGGCTGGAGCCCCATCTTGCAGCAGGAATGTTTTTCAGGTGTCTCTTTGTACCAACAGGGTGAGCAGAGCTGGCTGCTGCTGTGCTCTTCCTGTTGCCATCTGTGATGGGAAGGGACAGATGGATGTTGTAAACAGGAGCAGAGGAGGAGGAGGAGGTCACTGGGTGGTTTTTTTCTTGGCTGTTCATCAGTTTGTGCCCCGTGCACACAGTTTAGCAGCTAGTTTAACATTTCTCACTGAGGAGTCAGGAAAATGGTATTTCCAAAAGGGAGGAACTGCCAACGGGCAAATTAAACAAACTGAATATTTGCCTTTTTTTTTTTTTTTCTTTTGTTTAATTAATTTTTTAGGTGCTATCTGTAAGTGTTGCCTGTTGCCAGTGGTGATAAAAACTCAGGGCAGCTGTTCTTTTCCCGGCCAAGCACTTTTAACCCTTCCCCTGCAGGTGACGGGAAGTTTTCTGTAGTTATAGGTAGCAAACCAAGCATGCTAAGGGGAAATGGCTTGTTCAGAGTCACTCTGCCACTCTGTCACACTCTGATGTGAGGTAGGAGCAGTAGATGAAGAATAGAAATCCAGAAGATAGGAAATCACTCCAACCAAAGGGCTGTCTTGCAACATTCCATCTCTGAGTGACCACTGGTGGACACCAGGACAGGAGGAGGCTGAGCTCAGCACCAGAGTGGTTTCCTGGCTTATGTGGCACAAGAACCACCACCACAAGTGTTGGGAAGGATAAGGATTTGATAGGAAGGTTTTACAGATATGTATGTATAACAGAAAGATTTTTGAATGTAGAATTTAAAGAAGGAATAGAAATGATGGTAAGTTTTGATATATAAGAAAAGAATTGTTGAGTTAGTTTTACTGGATAACTAACAAGGCAAAGAGCAAGTGAGTTGGAAAGGGATTTTATGACTTAGAGCAAAGGACAAATCCACCTCAAACAAAAGATATTTTTACCAAGCAAAAGGATTTTCACAGGCAAGCAAAAATGCCATGTTGTAAGTAGAAAGAAATATTTCAAAATTTTCCGCTCTAAGAAAATGAAGAAACAACTTTTAGCTTAAACTGCAACACACTAACTTTTTGTGATTGGAGAGTAGTAACATGAATATGGTTATGTTAGTAGTTCTGATGGGCTGTGGTTAATAGTAAAGGTATTGATTGATGGTCATGTTTTAAGATGATTGGAAAATAGTAATATGAATATGGTAATCTTAGTAGTTCTGATAGGCTGTGGGTAATAGTAAAGGTATTGATTGTCATGTTTTAAGATGATTGGAGAATAATAATATGAATATGGTAATGTTAGTAGTTCTGATGGGCTGTGGGTAATAGTAAAGGTATTGATTGTCATGTTTTAAGATGCTCTGTAATGAAAAGTTGTAATGCATTGTAACCAGAACTAGAGCTGGCTTCAGACGAGCCCGCACACAGGTATTTCCCCCCGAGTTCCTGGCTGTCAGGCAGCTGTGACAGAGCTTTCTTTGTGCCCTGCAGAGCGGGAGCACAGTGACAGGAAGGACGTGGACCCCAACGCCGGGCGCTTCGTGCGCTATCAGTTCACCCCCGCCTTCCTCCGGCTGCGCCAAGTGGGAGCCACGTGAGTAACCCCCTGCTCCTTGGCCCTGCACAGAAAACTGCTGAAATCCTAGGGGGAAAAGCCCACCTCCTCCATCTTCATCCTGCCGGGAAGTTGATTGAACAAGGGGATTTTTCGTTTGTTGTGAGGGTCTCCCAGTCTCTTGCTTTCCCTGCCGCTTTTGGCTGTCTGGTCTGGGGTAGGACTGGTGCTGAAGAGATGGATGCTAAAAAAAAAAAGGGATTGGGATTGATGCTGAAAGAGGCAAAATAAAGTGGGAAGGCTCTCCAAAGAAGAGAAGGCTCTGGGGAGACCTTAGAGCACCTTCTGGTGCCTGAAGGGACTCCAAGAGAGCTGGAGAGGGACTTTTGGAAAAGACCTGGGGTGACAGAACACAGGGAACGGCTTCCCAGTGCCAGAGGGCAGGGCTGGATGGGATTTTGGGACCTGGGGTGACACAGGGAACACAGGGAACGGCTCCCCAGTGCCAGAGGGCAGGGCTGGATGGGATTTTGGGATCTGGGGTGACAGAACACAGGGAATGGCTTCCCAGTGCCAGAGGGCAGGGCTGGATGGGATTTTGGGACCTTGGGTAACACAGGGAACACGGGGAGTGGCTCCCCAGTGCCAGAGGGCAGGGTTAGATGGATTTTGGGAAGGAATTGTTCCCTGTGAGGGTGGGGAGGCCCTGGCACAGGGTGCCCAGAGAAGCTGTGGCTGTTCCATCCCTGGAGGGGTCCAAAGCCAGGTTGGATGGAGCTTGGAGCAACTTGGGCTAGTGGAAGGTGTCCCTTCCCATGGCAGGGGTGAAATTGGATGAGTTTTAAGATGTTTATCTAATGCTGTGGTGTGTAGAAAGCTTTAAGTAAAAGAGGAAACAATAATTTGATTAGTGTTGTTGCTTTATCTTTTTGGCTTTTTTTTTTTTTCCTGAGCTTTCTTCTGCCTTTCAGGAGTGGTGCAGATCTTACTGAAGCATAAAAGCTCACGTCAGTTTTACCCTTCTTTTTCAGGGTGGAATTCACAGTAGGGGACAAACCCATTAATAATTTCCGTATGATTGAGAGGCACTACTTCCGTGACCAACTCCTGAAAAGTTTTGATTTTGAATTTGGCTTCTGCATCCCCAGCAGTAAAAATACTTGTGAGCACATCTATGAATTCCCCCAGCTCTCGGAGGATCTCAGTAAGCTCTTTATTATAAACTTTATTTTCTGGGCTGTCACACCATCATGTTCATCTGAGGTGGTTTGGGGGAACCCTTTCTTAAAAGCTGTCTCTAGAGAGTGGGTTGGGTAGAATAATTCATCCTTTTATATCTGTGTTAAAACAGATTTTGTTTTCTAGTAGGATGTATCTCATCACACACCAGGCAGTTGCTTGTTTTTTTTTTTTTTTTTAATTCATAAAAGGGAAGCTTCAGTATCAGGGAGAAAAAAGATAATTGTGTTATAAAGCAAGCAAAAAACAAGATTAAAAAGACATCCAATAAATGGATAACTTAAACGTTATGATCTCTTTTAATGCTTGATGTGCTATATTGTGAGCTTGAGAGGTTTTATTATGAACATAACTTTTATTTTCTCTCCTCTCTTCCAAGGCACAATAGCACAAGCACTAAATCTCTGTGATCTTCCTCTTTACAACCTCTAATTGTGTGTGTCAGCACTAATATTACAGTCTGTGGAAAATACAGTGAGACTCTGCTGTCAGGCCAAAATTTACTTGGAGTTTGCTGGTTTATCACTGTTTTTAAAAACAAAACAAAAAGAACCCATACCCAAAATGTAATGGGTTCTTGTTTTGAAGTCCCTTTTACATGGTGCCTTAATATATTTGAATTATGAACATTTTTCATCCCTGAAAATGTTCAAAGAAAGTGTGGATGTGGCACAAGGGTTTAGTGAATTCAGGGTGGATTTTAATGCCTTAGAGGACTTTTCCAACATAAAAATTCCATGATTATGCTTGAATTGTTTAAAAGACACCAACAAGGAGTGGTTTGGGCAACTCCCACTTGGGTTTTTGGTTTTACACCTGATTCTGCAGCTGCCTGGCTGGCACTGAGCATTGCTTGAGCCCAGCACTGAGCAGCACTGTTAATTCTGCTGGGTTTTTTTCCCCCCCATTTCCCCCTCACAGTTCGAGAGATGATCCTGCATCCCTACGAGACACAGTCGGACAGTTTCTACTTTGTAGACAACAAGCTGGTGATGCACAACAAGGCAGATTATTCATACAGTGGAGGACCTTGAGCCTGGGCTGGATGGCCCCAGCTGTGCTGGCCTCCCCTTCCCTCTGGAAATCGTCAGGGATCCCAAACACCTCCAGCTCTGCTGCCTGCAATGTCCCCTGGACAAGGATCCACCAACCAAGGACTCTTTGCCACAGTAGGAGTTTCATGACATCTCTTTTGAGCTTTGAAGCAGACCCAGTTCTTCAGAAGTTTTAAGCTAAAATCATCTTTGGATGCCACTTCCCTAAAAGTTCTTTTAAGTGTCTGCTTTGGAAATGGCCTTGTGGGACCTGAGGGGTTTTGCCCTAATTCTGTGAATTTATGTTCCTGCCCTCGAGTATCTTTTAGGGTTGCTTTCCCAAAGAATGTAATCAGAGAAACCATGGGAGTGGATGGATGCAAAGGCAGAGGTTTGGGTGGTTGTTTCTCTTTGTGAATGCTTCAAAGGCCAATTTAACTTGTCCAGCCTGTTGAAAATATTGAGCAAAACATCTCACCAAGGCAAGTTTCATCTTTAGATTGGCTCTCCACGAGTATTTCATCCTTTAGTTTCCATTCTTCTGTGTAATGTTCTGTTTAACCTTGGAAACACCAAAACCTGCAGTGAAGAGCAGTAGTTCAGTGTAAATTGAGTGTTTTTACATTTACATTCCTTTTACATTTCAGGTGAAGGTAAAATGGCATTGTGGGTCTATGAACCTCCATAAGTACATTCCATTAATTTCAGGTTTTTGCAGAATAATCAGGAAAAACAGAAGGATTTTAGCTTTATTTAACATTTTTTGCTTTATTAAACATTCAGCCTTTTCATGCCACACATTTCCCATGTCTATTTTCTTTCATCTCTGCTCAATACCAAGATAAGGATTCAGCTCTGCTTGTTAAAGCAACATTTTAATTGTCTAAGGCAGCTGGGGAGTGTGGAATTTCCAATTTTCTATTTGTATCTGCATTTAAAGGAGGTTAAGACAGCCTTTCCCCTTTGTTAAAAATGTTTCTCATCAGATATTAATACAGGTGGAACTAAATCTAATAATCTACAACTTTAACACACAGCAAAAAAATTAGCAAAAGTTCTCTCTTCAGACTCTGTAAGAAGTTTAACACCAATTTAGCCCAAGAAATAGCAACACCAAGAATAAACTACTGTGGGGTGACCTGCTGTCATGAAACCCCTACTCTGAAGGTCAGTTCACTGATATTAAAAAAAAAAAAAAAAACCACAACAAAAATAAGACAGTTGCAGTCTGTAGATATTTCTATAAATACTTGATGTCTCCATGTCTAATTCTGTGAGTTGAAGTGGAACATTCTATGTTAGCCTCGCATAGGTGTAATAATTGTAATAATTTTTATAAAAATACCATTTCCAGTCGTGATGAGCATCTCTGTAGTCGCAGCCTGTGTCAGACAGGACAATTCCAAGTGTAGCCTAAGGACAGGGAGGTTTTTGTGCTCTTGTTGGGGTTGTGGTCACTTTTCAATGTGTCACCATTTGTGTTTGGCTTGGCTTTTTTGACTGCTGAGAGAGGAGGCAGATTTTTAGAAAAACCACAGTGATTTTAGGTTACAGCACAGCTTTCATTCAGCTTGGTAGCTACAAAAACGTGTCAGGTTCACTCATTTTACACAAGTAATAGCTTGTAGTAATTCTTATCACAGTGAGACTTGTGTTTATCACTATTTTTTGTCTCTAGTGGATTAAATCATACAAGTAGCCTACGGCTGACTGATCAGTTTGGGAGATACAAAGGATTTCCTCATTATTTGTGCAGTACTTTGAGCTTCTGACCATTAATTTTATAGCACAGTAATTACTAAAGATGGAAATAGTTTCAAAAATGTTTTCATTCCCCCCCCCTTTTTTTTTTTTTTTTGCATCAGAGCTGTTAAGTCATATATCCAATGACATTTAACGAGTTTTAAGTATTTCTGAGTTTTGTTTCAATTTGCAGGAGAAAAAATGTTAATTTAAAGACAAAATAGAGTGTATGTTTGTAATTACCACTGTGTACAGGTTTTTTTGGGGAGGTTATTTTTCACCTGCTGTTCATAACAGTCACTTCTGTGCATAAAATTTTTAAAGTACTTTTAGGAATGGAATTTGCCCAGAATTTCCAGTCATCTATTTAATATGTTGTGATGAGATCAGTTGTACTTTGGTGTGGACTCTTGGGTCATTTGATGGAGTTTCATCTGAAATAGTCATGTTCTGCTCCTTTTTTTTGCTACCTCCTTTCAAGACTTATAAAAAATGGGTAATTCCATAAAAGTATTACTGTAATCAAGGGAAATTTGAGTGGTAGACATGCCCATCATGAAAGAACCAAGAAAAAGTCACAGTGTTCCCAGCAGTGCAGAGTGTGAACGGAATTTCTCACATTTTTCTGGGGTAGGCTTGAGGTTAAACACAAGAGGGTGAATTATCAGCTGCTCCTCTCCTGAAATCTTTTCTAATTCAGATTATATATGTAATAATTCCAATCTCGCAGAAAATTTAGTGTGAATCATATGGGAGTTATTACACTGAGTGTGTTTGTTGCCTAATATTATTAGGAATATTTTAAGCCAGAAATAAAGATTGGACATTTTCAATAAAAGCAATTTCAACCAATTCTAGCTTTAGCTTTTCAGCTGGGACAATTTTACTCTTGTTAAAAATCCCCAGAGTTTGCCACAAGTAACAAATTCTGATTCCTAAACCAAGGCAAGCACCGGGATTTTCTGTGGGAGGTGCAATGAAGGTGATTTTTTTTCTGTGTCCCCCTGAAGCAGCTGTCACTGTTTTCTCTCTGTCTCACTTGGGAGCTCTTTGTTAGCATTTCCTCAAGGTCATCCTCATCCTTTACAAACTTTACAATCTTTACAAACACGTGGGAATCACTGTCCAGGAGAGAGCTTCTGTTCCTCTCCCACCTGCTCATCACTTTGGTGTTGACACGAGGCACATAAACACCACTAAAGGAATGTTTCTTCAAAAACTTTGCCTGTAGAGTTGCTGTTTCAATGCCACTTCTTGTTTTGCTTAAAAGCCACCTTTAAAATTTGGTGTTAAAGACCAAACCTCGTGCAGCACCCAATAATTTCATCTTCCTTCTGAAGGGGAGCCGAGTTTGCAGCCCAGTTGTGAAACCCCCATTTTTTCCCCTCTAAACTGGCAGCTGATTCTTATTTTAAACCAGTTAAGAATGAAGTCTTAGCAGCCTTATTCACAGAAGAATTTGCTAATCTTCTTAACTAGCTATTATTTTGTATTTTAACATTCATCATTATTGGGTTTACTTTGGAAGTTCATTGCGAAATCACCAAATATTGGCTCTGGGAAAAAAAGAATTGTTGTCTTTTCTTCCTTGATCTCATTTTAAACATGACTTTAATTAGCACTGCAGCTCTGTTTTAACAAGCCAGCCTGGCAATTTGGGACCTGACTTTCTGAAAGTGAAAGAAAACATCCAAGAGCTAACCAAGATTATCTGCTAATAATGCCCGGCTGTTTCCTGTCATAAAACAGGATTAAGTGTGTGCTTTACACTGTGACTTAATCTTGGAAAAAGAAACTAAGTCTCTCTGAGTGCTAATAGTGACATAATTTTTCTGAAAGACGGGGAAATTACAGCTCAACACATTCTTTCAGGGAAATTATAATTTGACATTTTTTTTTCACTTTGTCAGTCTTGGATTCCTTTAGTAGTCAGGGTTTTTAAGAAAAGCAGCAACACATTGCTGGTGAGCTGCATGCTCTAATAACTCACACTTCTGTGGCAGGGAGAGAACCATTTCTTTTTAGAATTAACACATCAGCTGTGGTTGAAAATGCAGCAGCTTTGCTCTCAGTTCAGTGACAAAAGCCAAAATTGTTTCTGTGAATTATCTGTTGCGTGGTGACATTTCAGAAATAACTGAGTGATCCACCCTTCCTGACTCAGAAAATTTTATTTATTTATTTATTGTAACGTAGAAAGTCTCTCCAGGGTTGAAAACAATCTGCTGATATTTAGTTCTTGCTCATAATCTCTATGTCTTGGTTTTTTTTGGGCAGGTCAGTAAGATGCTCTATTTTCCACCTCTGTCCTCTGAGTTTTATTCCAAAATCTTGTGTAGTGTCACAGTGGTGGCTGGCTGTGTGTGAAACATGCAGGCTACCAACTTCCAAATCCCTTCAGTTTGAGAAAAAACTCTGGAAGTATATTGAGAATTATCCTACATATCGTCCCATAAAAAATAAACCCCAATCTTCATGACAAAAGTTTAAGGGAACTCTTAGTCAAGCAAAGATTGGGGCTATTTAAGGTAAGGAAATGCTAATACCCAACTGTCACATTTAGTGAGTATTATAAAAATGCTCTATTAATTATTCATAACCTGAAAAAGATGGTTAACAGCTCAGTTTTAATTAGATCTGGTTAGGAAGGAAACCATAGAAATCATTGCTGTCGTTTGGGGCTGCAGGGCAGCGCCTGGATCTGTGTGTGTGGCACAAAAATTTGGGCAGGATTGTGTGCATTTTGGGAGGGAAAAGTGAAGGAAAGGAGGACAAAGAGAGAATAAAGAATTAATTTCAGCTATTTGGGCCCAAGAGCTTCAAGGCTATGGTGAGTGACTCAATTTTCTCCTGCTCGTGATTCTCCTCTGTACCCCCAGCATTAACACTGCCTGAATTTATAGAGGCTTTTCAGTATTAATGCTAAATACCACTCTGAGTTCATATCATTTAATCCAGGTGGAAATTGCTGATTTGTCTGAGGGCTCCAGGTCTCACCTTGCAGCTCAATTGTTGTCCCCATCACTGGTCAGTGGGTGAACTGGTGTTTGTGTGTCTGCAGCCCCCCAAAAACCCCCCTGTGCTCCTGCCTGCTCTGGTGTCTGCTTGTATCTTAATACACCCAGCAAACCTGTTTGAATGTGACTTTTTTTTTTTTTTTTTCTTGGCATAGAAACAGAATTGTCTGTATTAAAATGTATTTATAAAAAAATATATATATATATTTTTTGTGGAAGGAAAGTAGGACTCTGGTTACTATACCACTGGGAAAATGTTAGGAGCATTTTTACCAAGTTAATTTCTAATTCTTTGTACCTTGGTAGTGATTTGTTTGCTAGGAGAACATCCACTGTGGCCCATCCTGTGGCAATGCAATGCACTGTCCTGCAGGGAATCTGATTTTCAGAAAACTGGGAGTCTTTTGTTTCCTTTTTGGGACAGGAGGGAACTGAGGAAATCACCAGGAATAGAAGGAACCTTGGCACGGATTCTGTTCTGTGGCTTTGGCTTCAGCCTGTTTGACTTTTTGCAGATTAAGTAGAGAGAGAGAAAAGATTGAGACTTCAGGATTAAAAAAAAAAAAAAAAAAAAGGAAAATTAGATGCTACAATTTAGTCTTCCTGTAGGAGAAGGAGAGTCCTTAAATTAATTTATACAAGGTTTAAATAGGGACTGCACTTGCTTCAATTGATTTAATATTGGCAGCTTAGTCATTGATGTGCATCCTAGGGAATATGCTTAACTTTTTCCATTACCTTGGAAAATGGTTCAAAAACATGTCACTTCCATTAGCAAGTGTTTCTTCTCCTGTAACAAATTGCAAAATGTAAAAAAAAAAAAAAAAAGGAAATAAATTATTGATCCTAGAAACGAGGGTGCTTGTCTATTTTATTTAAATATTTCTATGAAGAAAGCATTGAAACTTTCATTTCAGGTCTCTTCCATCAATATTCAAGCTCCAATTTTTGTGCAAATGTGTGTGAGCAGCTTCATTTTTTGGTGATTGATGGAAAGGCTCTGCAGTAGCTTGGGTAGTTTTGTGGGTTAAACCATCACACTCAAAGTGTTCAGGTGGGATTTAACTTTCAGGTTGGGAAAATGCCTTGGAGTGTAATTAAAATAAATTGGTATCAATTACATTAATGGGACTTTGGAGTTGCACAGATCACAGCTATGATCAGGTTGTGACTTTATAAAATTTGCAAGTTTGAAAAGTCAATTTGAAAAACAATGTGAAAAATTCGAGAATTTGAAAGAATGAAAAGCGTGAAAAATAAATTAGTGTCGAAGTACATTGACAGAACCTTGGAGTTCCCTGGATCACTCCTGTGCACCAGGCTGTGCTTCTGAAGGATTTCTGGCTGCACTTTGGAGGTTCTGAAATTAAAGTGAAAATTGCTGTCTCAGCCTTATCGACTAAAACTGAGCCAGCTGCTCGGGCTGAAATGAGTTTTACTGCAGTAATTCCATCCTGATGGCTTTGATGTTTTATTCCTGGGAATACCTCTGTGTTTCTCTGGGAGCAGAACAACTGTCAGAAGAAGAGAATTAGGATGTTTTTGTTTGAAAATGTCTTCTATAACTCATTTTGATTCCTGGGAGTTCCTGGGGACTCCTCACTGACACAATATTCTGCAGGACATCTCTATGTGCTGGAATTTGAGTAAGGAATTTATTCATACAAGGCTTTCCCTTTTGGATCGTGGCTTGGAATTCTTGCAAGGCATTCTTGTAAGGACTGGGAGCTGATTCACTGAATACCTAAAAAAGGAGAGCAAAATCAGTGCTAATAACTAATAAAGCAGGTTAAACAGCCTCTCTGATTTTGGTGCACAGGTATAATTACCTGGACTTGCTCAGAAATCTTCTGAGATTGCAAACAACCTTAAAATTAAAATTAAAAAAAAAAAAGAAAAATAATTTTATTCTTATGAAAACTCTACAGTGTTAAATGTCTGCCAAAAATACACGGCATTACCAATGCTTCACCCCCCTCTTTAGCTGGTTTGTCAGCCTCATTTATTAATAAATATGCCTAATCATTCTGGAGGTGCTCTCTGCTTCTCCTCAGATTATTTCCTTTGGCATTTCTCAGCTGCTGAGTTATTGTGGCAAATCTTATGTGTTCACTCCACGTCTCTTTTATTTGTCATTGTTCAAGGGCATTCATCTATCTCTGACTTGCATTCCCTTAACATTTTTCACTTACAGGGAGAACACTTCTCAGTGATAAAGTACTCCAAATTTCCCAATTTTTCCCCTCTAACACAATGGATCTTACTTTAAAGATAATTTTAGAGATTACTGAAATCTCTCATTGCATGCTAGGATAACCCAAACCTATTTATTCTCCCTATTTGAGTCCACCAAATAGAGCAATTCCATTACAGAGATGATTTTTTATCCCCTTCACCAGTGCTGTACAGAGAACTTAAAATAGGAGGTGAAATCATCCTGGATAATGTATTTTAATTAAAACTACAAAGAGAATTTAGGTAGGTAGAGCATAATTGCAGTTGGATGATTCCCAGCCATTATTTTGAAAACTGACTTGGGACCTTACATAACAAAGGCCTGTTTTATTTAATAATAATTTAATTTTCAAGTGGAGGGCGTAAACCATGTTAATGAAGCTGCATATGAAAGTAATCTGTAGCAAGAAATAAAAACAGGCAGGGAATTTACAAACAACAATAGAGAAAACACATAATTAAATTTACTTTATGAAAGGGAGATAACACAGACAGGAGAGAAGAGTTCCAAACACCTTCAGTTCTTCCTTTCCTGTGGAATGACAGCATAAATCAGAAGAGGGGAATAACAATTGGGATTAAATGAGATATGAAGAAGAAATTTTTCCTTGTGAGGGTGGTGAGTCCCTGGCAGAGGTTGCCCAGAGAACTACATGTACCAGACCTGAAAGCTAAAAATATTTAGGATCTATTTTGGTAAAAAAAAACCGAAAAAAAACCCCAAACACCAAACCCAAAACTCCAACCCAAACTTTGTTTTTTATGAGTTAGGTGAAGGGCACAGTGCACCATTGTTGTGCCACTGTTACTCTGTTCACTGGCATTTGACTGGGGTTGAAAAATCATGTTTTTATTTCCCAAATGCATTCCTTACCACGCTGATGTATAATTAAGTGTCTCATTAACCCTGCTGCCTGCTTTGATGTCTGCACAGGTTCATAAGTCAGGAGAACAGAGGGTTCACTGTAACCCTTAAAATTAAAATGTGCCCAGAGAGCTGAGCACAAGTTCAGAGGAGCAAAACTCTGCCCCAGACACGCCGAGGCTCTTCAGCACTCAGATGTCAGATTTTAAAGATATTTCCCCACTGGAATTCATCAGCTGGCATTGCTCATAACCCAAATTTGAAATAACACTGCAGAAATGTTCCTTGCAGCTGACAAACACAGGGCTGTGCTTCCTGTGCTTGGAGGAAACACAAGCACAAGTGTCACCACTCAGATAACTTTTAAGAACTATTATTTCAGCCAGTGTTTAAATTTCTGTAAGATATGTCAAAATGGGAAACATCATTTCCAGCCAAAACAAAAATTTGCACCTTTTTTAATGCCTTTAATGCCAACTAAGCATTGCCATTTTCTCCTAGATTAACTGGATATTTGGTAGAAAAAAATTTTAGGAGTTTTTTTTAAATGGTCTGAAGTTGATCTAGAGAGAAAGGCAAGTATGATAAATCCTTAAGAGATGGTTCATGCCTGGTGCCTCCAGCAGGCCCAAACACGCTGGGTTTATTCATGTACTTGAAATTAAATTCATTAAATTCTTCAGCAGCTTCCTGGACGAGCAAGATCTTGAATTCTGAGTTCATCCCAATAATGTGAATTCCCTTCTCCAGTGTTTTTTTGTGACTGTTGTGCTTCTGCCTGAGCTCTCAGTGGGGTTTTTCTTTCCCCTCATCCACCCAGCCTGAGCTGCTGCTGGAATGAATTTCCTGGTGCCAATGGCGTGAGTAAGGAATTAATTCATGTGACTAACGAGGGCACAGCCAGGCCTAATTGGTTTTGTCAGGAATAAATCTTTAATGGTTTCCCTGGCCTCTCCTGTGCCCAGGTCACAGCTGGATCCATCCAGGGCAGGATTCTCCCGTTCTCCCAAGCAGCAAAACGACTCTGGGGTGAATTTCTTGTGGCCTTTAAGTGTCCAAAGGGCTGGGGTGGGGATTTTGGGAAGTCAGGACAAGGGGAAATGGTTTCAAACTGGGAGAGGA